TCTGAGGTCCTGTGCGGAGCTGAAGTAACCTATCCCACCAATCGAGACATCATCTGATTCACAATTCAAATGGTTTCGTCCACCAGAATTTCCACTTCTTTTGGACTCAGTTGTACTTGGTTTTTGTATCACAGAGTAAGGAACTGTCGGGTGATTGCAGTTTATGAAAAATTTACGCATTCATGTAGGCTGGTGCTATCTGAATATTCATGTGTGGACTCGGGTAACTTGGAACTATGTCAGCCGTCATTCTAAGTTCGGTTTAATTTATTCATAACACAAGTGGATTGTATAAAAAGAATGATCAATATCTAGAGCCCCCAAGTAAAAGCAGCGAAGTACATTAGAAATTCCATCGGAGTCAAGCGCAATGATGAACTGATAGGTACATTAACTTGGCGATTGACAAACTGTAAGTTGCAAGAGCGTCCGAATTCGGAAAAAAAGCCAGGGTTCGACAGACGGGTTTTGATATGAATGAGGAAGCAAATCATTCAGTTTTGTAATGATACCTGACATGAACAGCTAGACATAATTGGTGGGTTGCACAGTTAAAATACGGAGGTAGAGAGACGGAAGGGTCTATCTTACAAAGCTGGTATTCCCAGCTGCAAACTAAAAGAAAAAAGCCACACTCCAAAAACCTGTAGGCTGCAATCAGAGAGGCAATTCGTTTGCTCTGAATACAACCCAAGAAGCAGTAAGATTAAGGGTCTGAACCCTACTACGACAGCAATATTCCGCAGTAAAACACATTTCGCGTTAGAAACGTCAGGCAATATTTGGTACCCGAAATAGAAAGCCACTCTTTTTGGAAACATGGGTCACGCGGAACCTGACGTAAGTGGATCAAGAAACACGAGGCCAAGAAAGGTGAAGAAGTGGGAGGAGGCACGTCTAACCGTCAGGCGGGGAAAGACGAAGGGAGAAAGACTCGGATGGGTTGAACGTAGTTGCATTCGACGCTAATGCAGGAGTAGTAGCGTTTTGGAAACGGTAAGATGAAGAAAGATGATGAGTTGTATCACCTGAGAGAAACAGACAAGAACAGATCATTGGAGTATTGAACGTGTGTGGGAGAGTACACATCAGTGCACTGATATCGTGAGTACGGGAAACGACGCTGTCAAGGCACGGCTGAATAATGTCCGCCTGGTTGAATTTTGTCAGGAAGATCCGATCCTGAAACTACAGACAAGAACAGATCATTGGAGTATTGAACGTGTGTGGGAGAGTACGCATCAGTGCAATGATATCGTGAGTACGGGAAACGACGCTGTCAAGGCACGGCTGAATAATGTCCGCCTGGTTGAATTTTGTCAGGAAGCTCAGATTCCTGAAAATAGTCCCGGAATGCCCGAAGCCTACTGAGACACTTAAACCCCACCAAAAAAGCAGTAAGGAAGCCGTCAAGCATCCAGGCTAGAAAAGCTAGCTTCCGATCGAATGTTCAGGCAGTCAACCAATTCAGCAATAACCAACGAGGGCTCAGACACATCACAGGGTGACGGCCGACGCTGATGAGCGTCTAAGCATTTCACAAAAGTACGACCGACGATGATGTGTTCAAGCACTTCATAAAAGCACGATCAATGATGATGTGTTCATCAAACATCGATCAAACAGCCTAGATTTGTGTCAGAAAACCCCTTAAGTAGCACGAGGTCTCTTGTAACTTTTGTACTCGCTCGTTCGCAATAATGTCGTTGTGTTCCTTGTTGGCGAGTCTTTCTCCAACACTAAGGCACTGAGCGGGGACGGTAGTCAGATACAAGTTCTATAAAGTTTGATCAGCTCGGGGAGTTTCACAAGGGGGTCCATATGCTGGGCACGACTGAATATTTCAATTGAGATTTCGTTGTCAGTGAAAGCACTCTATGCTGAAGGACTGAACCAGTTGCCGCCGGAAGGTCACCGATTTGAAACTCTCTGAGTTTTGCGAAATGAATCCAGCTGATGATTTTCAAATAAGGAGGGGACAGCTGTACGGTTCCCCCCAGCTTTTCAGCGTAAATTGGCTTCACTTACAGGAGGAAGTCTCCATTGAAAACTGCCAAACCTATTCTAACCACCATACGGACACGTGATGAGGCACTCGGACGGTGAAGCAGCGTACGATTTGTAAACCGGAGCAGTGAGGTCATTAGACTTGGAAATTGGAGTTTCACTGAAGAAAAATACGGAGAGAGCTGACGATGATGAGAATCAGCGCACCAAATTAAGGAAGGTCGCACTGTGGGCTTACGAGAGCGCGAAAGTGGAGCGAAAACTCGAGGACCCGGTTTTTTATGAGTTGTAGGGCGGTCGTCCAAGATAGGGACTTAGAGTGGCGAGTCTGGTTAGTCGAACGGTGATATTTCTCCGCGCGAAAGCAAGTGGCATCTACCACCATGGTGGATACGACCAGTTGTCACACAGCTTAAGCGTCTTGAACAAATAAGACCAAGGGTAATTGGTGGTTCTCAGTTGGCTTATGGGGCAGCCTACTGGTGTTTGCGAGCATGCAGTGAACAAGTTTTCCCTCTCCTTTCTTCAAAACCTCATGTGACAAAACCTTCCTTATAGCAATCAGCGAAAGAACCGGTGAACCTTCACTCCAGGTGAGTGAGAACTGTCCTAGGACTCAAGTGCGCAATAATCCATCTACATAACGACCCCCGTTCTAATAGTATCGTCATCATCATCGACAGCATCATATCAAGGTTCAACACCGATGCTTCACTGCCGTACAACCATGGTTTAATTGAAAGCCTTATTGTGAAGAAAAGAACAAAAGTGAACTGGAAAGGGACTTAGTGCTGGCTTACTACAATCATTCCGAGGTGCCTACACCTCCAGACACTCGTTCAGGCAATCAGGATAAACTGACAACACGAACGCCACTGACATCGGTTGGCAGCCATATCTCGCATGGTCTCTAACCAGGTGCAGTGAGGGTCACGCGATCCCCATCGTGAAAGGCGAGTAGCACTGACAGCATTCAAGCGTTTCGTAATCTTCTCCATACTCCTTTGCCAGATCAAGGATTGGCTACCACTCCGCTTACGCCACGCTGAGTTGGGCATGGAAAACAGCACTCTCTTTGGCAAACGATAGTTAGATAGTTTGTAATTTATATAAGATTCTCCCTCTGAATCCCACATGGCTCTCGGTCGTAAATTCACACTTCTAGAGTTGCAAAGACTTATAGTGAGGTGACCTTCAACATTTATAAAGCAAAAGAAAACAATCCATGTCAAATTTGAACAGACGAAGACAAACGCAAGACAGCTGACCTGGAAAGAGGCCAACAGAAGTGCACTTGACCTGGATTATTGGAAACAGTCACGAAATGATCCAGGGCTTGGTGATCCAAAATGTGATATTGCTGGCTCAAGTCGAGGCGATAATCGCTCAGTCCACTTACCAGGGTACGCTTGGTGCCTTTCTGGGAGATAGTATGTGCTTTCGCGTGTTGGTATTCGCCTTCTTCCGCTGTACTGGAAGCTGGATTGGAGCCTGACAATTTGGATTTTGGAAGTCCTGCAGAGAGACGATCAAGAAAGTCGGAAGTAGTAATCTCCGTTAAAATGCGCTCTTTTTGAGTTTCCAAGAGGTCGGAGTTTTCCAGTTGACTCGATATTGAAGACTGATGTTGCCGGACAGAATTGAATAGAGCCACTATACCGCGCGTGGCCTGCAATCGTAGTCGGCGTTCGCGAGCATGTTCCCATTCGACTTCTTCTTTTGTGCCGGACTGTTCAGATGGTGGGTTGTTTAGAGTTAGAATAGTCTGTCGGATACCGGCAGCCGCCTGAGGTTTTTTATATGCCTACGAAACAGAACGATGGATTAAAACAATCCTGAGACCTACCTCCCGCAACCACCTGCGTCGCTCTGCAGTCGACACGACTGAAGACTTTTCATCATCTGTCACTTGAAGGGAACTTTTTGCTTTTTGTTTCTGTTGGTCTGTCTTGGCGAGGGCCAAAATGGGGTGTTTTCCTAAAGGAATGGTTTCCTCTAGAATTTTGTGAACCACATCAGCCAGAGCTCGGTAACTCATTGCTAATGAAAGACCCCGTCCCAAGTGAAAAAGACCTGCAGGGGGTAAAAGACGGCACTAAGTACAAATGTATCCGTACTAAAGGTGAAACAAGCAGTCTCTAGGTGATACAGTGTTACTCAGAACAGAAGGCATCACAAAGAAGGACAACTACGGCCCTCGATGGAGTGGTCCCTTTTCAGAGATATCACGTAAACTATGGCTGGTGAGGAAGCCCATTGTCTGGGAGGGTGCTCGCGCTCCGAATGGGTGACGTTTTGGATTGTTGAACCTGCTAACAGAAGTGTCGATGCGGAACATCTTGAAATATGGTTAGCATAAAATCCGTGAATGTGGAAAGCCAGCCCACCAACCAGCTACATGGTCACCCGTGTTCTGCTTTATCCGTAATTCAACCAAGATCGACTCATTTATTCGTGTTCCCTTCAGAACCAGCGAGATTACTCCCGGCAGCCAACGAGGATCGCCTTTCCCGGCTTGAAAAAGGCTTAAACTGTGGTGATTACCAGATATATCGGCAGTGTCTGTGGCACAAATGAATCCTTCACAACATTTGACCCTATTTCGTAGACGTGTGAGGAATTATGGTAAGTTCACGCTTGAGTTTACCACATTCATAGTGACTCTCGCTCATCCTGGAACGCCTCGATGGATTTGAGCCATGCGCTTGTTCGCTGGAACCTCTCGTCATGCTTACCGGGGCGCGTCCCTTGTCTGGCCAGTAAGAAGCTCTAAGACCCATATGTGAAATAAATCCACTGGAACCAACTACCGAACTCCCTTTCGGACAAGACGTCTGCCGAATCTGACTCTTACTGCAAAGTACTTCAACTCAGCAAGATGCCGCGCGCTCCGTTTGTGGAACGGCACAGCCAACCACACCTAAACACTGGATCTCGAACAATACTAAAATTGCTTGAAGCTTGGGCATGTATTGCTTCTCGTCTAGAGTACAAAGACACTCCACGAACCCTCAAACTTCAGATGAAAAAGAGCATCTGCGCGAGTAGGGAAGATTGACGGATCCAGAATGCTGGAAGCGTAGAGGACGAGAGACAATGAGAATGTGCGTAAACTATTCCAACGAGTCCAAAGGAACCTCCGATGAGGGAAACAATTACTGATAACGCCTTGCTTATCTGTGAAAAAGAGGAGCGCCTGATCCTTTGGGCTGAACACTTTTAATATTTTATTGGAACAAATTGGCGTGTTCGTACAGCAGTGAAGCATCAGTGTCCTCATCTGGTGCTGTTTACAGTAATGATGGTGGTGATAACGAAGATGGCGAGTAAGCGGGCTTGACGCTGTCAAAATGCAAAGAATACCAGATGACAGATAATTCTACCCCATGGTTCGGTGCGCGTTCCAAAATTGCAAAGTGTAGAGTGCTGTTGTAACAGTGGGTGGAATTAAACCCAAATTTGATAAGTCGATTGAGGCAGTAGACAGATTGCTTACCTGGGCAGCTGTGTCCGTCCCGATGGTTCACTAATGAGTGGTAATCTTTCAGTTATAATCTTTCACCCTTCCATGCCACCCGGAGGAAGCACGAGGGTTAAGATACTGCCAGGTTGTCCAAGCCTAGATAGCAGCAGCCGAGGTGTAAAGACGGGTTGGACCACGGACCTTCCAGTAAATGAATTCGCGCTCTCACCACTGAGCCATCCTGGTGGTCTAGCTAAATATATTGCCATCTGGATAGGAAAGGTCAGAGCGGCTTTCATCACTCTGCATCATCTGTGGCGTAGATGTGACAGCTAATTCACCAAGCGTTAAGTGTAGAATGTTGCAGTGCAGTCTATGCTGCTGTACGGATCAGAAAAATGGTCGTTCGCTCGAAAACTCTGTCTTCGGAGCACTACCCAATTCTGGTGAAAACATCGGATTAATGACGACGAAGTGTGGCGGCTTCCTCTCGAAGGAAATAACTTGCAAATAATAAATGGATTGGTTACTGGTCTCGAAAAACCTCAAGCAACCGTGAGGAGGGATGAAATGACCCACAGGTCGGAATTAGTGGATGTCAGTTGATTTCGTAAAACCTTAATCGGCTTCTCACCAATTGAGGTTGTCACCGTGTCGTGGTGTTTGGGCCTCGATGCTGTAATTACCCCCACAGTCCACATTAGCTAAAACTTGGTTCCTTAACCCTCGGCCATACCAGAAGAGCTCTGAAGGGCAGTTAAACAAAAAACAGCGGGTACCACACTACGGGATTTCAAAGAATAACTTTGTTGTCATGATCTGCAAGAAAACTCAGGAAAATTCGTCCTATTTGGAAAACCATACGCTGAATGGCTAGCGACCTACATAAAATTACGATGCAAGCTGCTTGATGGCGCTCGGAAACAGTATTCCTAGACTGTATGATCTGAGAAGCAGTCGGCTGTAAACTAAAATGAAACCATAGGATACTATAACCCTTTATTAGCTTCCATGGTTAGATGAATCAATCAGGATGCAACAGCAATGGTTCGGGTGTTTTATGGACTGGGTCATTAAACTGTGATACCTGGGAATCCAGTAGCTGTCTGAATACCGTCGGTAGAGTTATAAAAGTTAGGAAAGAAGTAACTGCCCAGATGGACCGCCTTGCGTGATCCTGAAGGTTGGCAGTGATGCCTTTGGTAAACCGCTTCCAGAAGGAATGATCAAGAGTTGGAAGAAAAGAATAAGGTCGCCCCACAGCATTCCGTAAGCTGTGGGATCGAAAATAATCTATTTTAGACGCCTGACGTACGGAAACTATGCACTTGTTTCGCAGCTTCCCGCCCGGTTTGCTTCAGCAACCCGACGTCCTGTTAGAGCCAACGACTCGACACCTGAGCGGCGTATTCGACGGGAAGCTGTGAGCAGCGCATTTAATATAGCGTAAAAATCGTTCAGAGGTAGCACCCTTTCGGCGCCTAACTGCCAGGCCACCCGAAGGAAGCACGGGGGTTGGGATACTCCAATGTTGTCCGAGCTTAGACAGGGGAATTCGAGAGGCAAAGTTCAGGTTCGAACACGGACCTTCCGGTCAGTAGATTCGCGCTCTAACCAGCTGAGCACTTCACAATTCCAGGGCAACGGACTGGCGGAATCGCTCAGCTGCTACGCGAAGGGCTGGGGTACTGCCAGGTTACTCAAGCCTAGACAGGAGAATTCGAGAAGTAGAGGTGGGCTTCAAACCACGGACCTTCCGGGTAGTAAATTCGAGCTCTAACCAGTTCATCCATCTGACGAAATAGATTTTGCAGAGGTTCCCGCTGGCGTGTATAGCGACGCAGTAGCTTACTCGCCTGATGGTGTATCACCAACAGAGGCACTGCCCCGAAAGAAGGAATGCACCGCCAGTTCAGCCGCCAAGATGGCGCGAACTCGTGCCTCTTTCCCTGAGTGCCAGAGTGATGGTTCGAGGCTACTGCTGCAGACACTCTAAGTGAATTCAGGACACATCCTTATTGGATGTTAATCAGGTGTCATCATCATCATCATCATCGACAGCATGACATCAGTGTTCAACACCGATGCTTCACTGCCGTAATCAGGTGTCTGTTCATCTGCTGACACATCACGGATTCATGGATTGATACACAGGATCGAAGCTTTTGCCCAAGTTTCCCGGGTCGGTTTTGTTCTTGTCGGCCAGTGACTGTCGTTCACCTCAAAGGCACAAATGAAAAAAGGGTGTAGCACTGCTCTTCATGTTCTCAGCGCGGGGCAGTATGCTTGCCAGCGCGAGGATTCTAGTAGTGCTTTAAACTGGGTTCTGGAAGGAGCGTGGACAACCGTCGGAGAAAGGTCATTCCACGCACCTACTACCCGAAATGAGAAAAAATTTTGTCTAATGAATGTGTGCTCTGAGCTTGAAAATTTTCTTAATATGTCCCCGCCGTGTGTTTGCTGGGTCAACGGTGAAAACTTGTTTGTCAAGCTTTGCCCAAACAGGGCATAAGTAAGAATTGGGTCCCCTCGGAGGCTACGGTATTCAAGGGGAAAGGGAACAAGCATCGCGAGACGCGTTTTGTAGTCCACGGATTTGAGGCCGGCAACCATTCTCGTAGCACTAAGCTGGACACGCTCAACGGGGGTGACGTCTTTCGTGCATCCTGGGTAGACAACTTGGATGGCGTGTTTGGAAGTCCATGCGAGGGATACGGGAGAAGGTGCAACGGATCATCCGTAAAATGGCGAGTGCCTTTTGGGCCGATTTCTCGTGGTGCAGTGAAAGGGATAAGTTTGAGGAGACCCAGATGCCCAAATCCTTTTTGGCATCTATCCTCATGATGTTTTATGGTCCCTTTCCACCATGCATAACAAAGGCATTCGCTGAATACCCTCCAAACGACATATGGACGCACTTTTCGTCATTCAGAGGAAGGTTCCAGTCCAACGACCACTGCTTGGCAGCGTCTACATCCATTTGGAGGGCACTGGCATTGGAACTCCAGGATTTCAAGTCGTCCGCAAAAAGTAAACATGGACTCGCAAGAACGTCTGGGAGGTCGTTGACGTAGATCAGAAACAGGAGTGGTCCCAAGACGGAGCCTTGAGGAACTCCAATGGAGACCGGCGCTGGAGAGGAATAGGTTGAGCCTATTCTCACTCGGAATGACCTGTCTGATAGGAACGCCTTGATCCAGCGAAGGATTTTCCCTTGAATCCCGTAAGACTCGAGTTTGTGGAGCAGCGGGACGTGTGGGACCCTATCAAATGCTTTTGAGAAGTCGAAAAATATGGCATCCGATATGAGTCCTTCGTCCTTGGCTTGGGTTAAGCTGTCCATAAACACGAGCGTGTTTGTCACGCAAAAGCGGTTTGGGAGAAATCCGTGTTGAGCTGGAGATATCAGATTGCTGGAAGTAAGGTGATCTAGGATAGCTCGCTCCAGAATGTGTTCCATCACCTTGCACGGCACGCTAGTTAGGCTTGTAGGCCTGCAGCTGCCAGGCGATAGTCGGTCACCAGTTTTGTAGACTGGCAATGACAATCGCTTCCTTCCAAGCAGAGGGGAGGCGGCCTTCGTCAAGCGCCGGCGCGGCATAGTGCTCCACGAGGTTGAAGACGGCACAGCCAGATGGATCCGGCACACAAACCAGATCCGGCCGATAAGTGCGCGGATCCTAGAGATGCTTCAGAACACTTTCGTTCTCGGCACTACCGGCGAAACTCCATCGGCTACTCCGTCGCAGGTCAATCCGAGAGCGCATCATGTTCACGCAGGCAACTGCGATCGAACCTCAGAATTCGGAGCAACGTCAACAAGCTTCAAGGAGGCGGTAGGCACCACTCCCAGTGATATCGCTTCGTCGCTTGCAGCTGGGCGCAGCAACGGGCAACAGACCTAGGTCGCTTGCGAATGGCGAAAATGTCGGGTCGTTTGCCGTCCCGCGGAAACTGGAGCTCTGATTGGTCGAATTCGTGGACCTAACATTCTATCATGATTTCGTATCTGCCAGATTCCGGCTGCCCATGGCACACCCAGGCGTCAGAATTTCCGGAATGCTGTTGCCGCATACATTCCATAAATGACGCGCTGTACATGTGTTTTTGGGTTGGTTTCTAGCGTAAATGCTGGTTGTGTACTATTCGTGTTTTTCTCGACGCGAACACGGATTTGGGAGGTTCACCTCGAGAACTGACCCGTCATTGCAGTCCCCCTCACCGCTCCTCTTAAAATTCCGTTGGCGTGAGCTGAAAACTCGTGTGCGTCAGAAACCAAGGTAGTCGGGCTACGCCTGACACGCTCGCGCTTTGAGGAGCCTCCTTGTCACGGAGCACTTAAAAATGCAAACCATGTAAACTAACTTGGCGCACAATTTAGTATTAACTTCACGTCTGAGTATTGCAAAGTGCTTCTACAAGCCTGGATTGGATCAGGTACAAAACCTCATGCTTACGGACGAGGTAGTTGACGTGGTGGACAAATGTGTTTTCCAGGGCAGTTGTATACATTTTCCGTTGGGTTGGATGATGGTGAGATTACTTCTTCAATCGAGAAGGCCAGGGGAAGTTTTGCCATATACCAACGCCTATGGCACAGACGCGACATCAGCTTACCAGTCAAGAGCAGTGTTTAAATTGTGGTAGTAAGACGCGCTTCTTCATGGATCAGAAGGGAGACCTCTGTGCTTAGAAGACGTAAAGAAACTGTCAGCTTTTGATACACCTTGTTCTTGGAAGATTGAACGGGCCTAAAGGGAGCCTCGGGTTATCACTGCCGAAGTGCGCTAGATAGTTGTGAGAATGAGGAACTCTCGCCCGATGGGTAAGTTTCGCCTCATGGGTTAAACCGCTTGCGAAAACTTTATCACGCAGAGGCCGTTCTCTGAGCCGTGTGGTCAGCGGAATTGAAAAATAGGTGGACAACCTATGACCTGGTAGCGGCATATGGAAACATTAACCACCACACACAGTCTTATCAACAGCCCTCCAGTCCTTGACGAGGGAGTGGAGACATCTCAACCACACACAGTCTTATCAACAGCCCTCCAGCCCTTGACGAGGAACTGCAGACATCTCAATGACGCTGGCAGACATGGCTCAGTCACAAAGTCCGTAGTGCTCCCGTGCCAAACACACTGTCTTCAGTGCGTGGCTGTCCGGCCTACAGAACTAACCGAATACCCTACCGTTTTCCATGCTTCTGCTATATCTCCTATCCTTTCCTATTTTCCGGTGAACAAAGCTGTAGTATCTGGTAACAGCGTACGTTTACTACTTGGGTTACAGCAGGTGAACCCAGCGTGTTAATTCCCGACAGCCATTCAAAGCTCAAAATAGGTGGCAAGCCGTATGCAGCGCGTTTGTCTGCCTATAGATAATTTATGAGCACGAGGAAGCGCTCAGAAAATGATAACGCCTCAAGATACACCGTAAAGTGTCAACAGGGATTTAGAATTCGTGATAACCTGCTGATGGTGGTCCAAATTCTGTATCGATCCCTGAACTTATCTCGTATGGTACGTCAATGGGCACGGTAGCTTAAGACAGCCACTTTGGAGAAAAATGAAGAGCAGTATGACTGTCTTTACGGTTCCACCACAGAATGTTCCAAGGAGTCATGCAGGAAGGCGGGAGGCGTTGAGTTTCACAGGCTGGGTTGGCTTATAATACTACCAACCAAGGCACGCCTTCGGTTAGTCCATAGCCCGTGAGTAACACCTGTCCAGTTGACATAGTGTTCGGTTATTAATAGCGGCGAGCCTTCAGACGGATGGGGTTCGATGGCTGCGGAAAGTTGTCGTCCGGCAGTTTAGTGAAATTCAGAGTAAGCTCGAGGCGGAGTCGCGCCACTTTGAGAATAACTCTCATCAAGCAGGATTATATGTACTCGAATAAGGCACTTAAAACGTGTAGATAAGTGACGTTCACCTAAGGTCCTGCGTTCGCTTCTCTAGTGAGCCGTGAACCGTTTTACATAGGTGCATTGGTTTTAGCTGCCACGGTTAAAATCGCCTGACATTATGCGACGAAGGCGTTTTTCGGTTAGTTCGGGGACCGGGAAGCTACACCTAGCGAGCGTAAACTTTGGTGCATGTGTGACACTCACGAAGCAGTTGAGCAAAAACGAGGCATTTACGCAGATGCGGAGCAACGCCAGACGCGAATATGTTTGTGCATAAGTTGGCGGGATGAAAACGCAATGGGCATCGGAGATAGGGTTACTGAGTTATTGCATTATTCCATCTTCCGAGGATCATATCAGTCATACTCAAAATTGATGGCCGTTGATATTTGAAAATGGCGGGCAAATGCAGAGCAAGTCAAGGCAAAACTGAAGCATTCTGCCCGCCATGTAATCAGTTAGCTACCGGTTGCGGAAAACGAGGAACCGAAATAACAAATATGGTGAAACAGCTGTGTTGCGGTGATCCTGCTAGTAAATTTGAACATATAATTTAAACCGTTGCTGCAGATACGTGGTCATTACAGTTGGGTTTATGATCAGCGTCACAAAAAGCATAAGTTGGGATGATCGAGTGGATAACTTAAAAATACGGAAACATGGTAGCTTGAATATCAGCATCACGGTGTAGAGCGAAACCGTATAGACACGCTGGCGTTGCTGTTGAGCAGAAATCGTGTACAAAAGTCCCCTCGAAGAATGAGTTGTTGCTAACGCATGGTACAGAAAGCAAATTGTGCAGAAAATGGTTGGCTGTGTAGGGTGCACAAACTGGAAGCCCATCCAGATGGTTAGATTCAAACGAATATCTCAAGTGAGTAGAAAAATTTCGTTTTATAGGTGGCTCGGGCCAGGTTATCAGTTTGTTCAGCGATGCAAGCAACTGAGAAAGCAGACGATTTGGAAGGAAAAATTACAAGGGAAATAGTTGTTCTTCATCAAGCGGTATATGGAAGTGCCCTGCCAGTTTCGCACTGAAAACTTCGGTTTCCAAACAGCCCCGTAACGAACGTTAAGCTTGCAGGGATTAGACAAGTACTGCGCGTTCCTGTGGACGCTAGATTCGGGCTGGACAAAGGCATGGACAAAAACAGATTAAACCCGATGCAGACTCACTAGAAGTTGTGATTCATTTAGGGGTCCGAGTTGAGGCAAGACGGGGACCGGGCAGAATGGACGGCGGCCATGCAGAGTGTTTGGAGCAGAGAATGCCGAATTTTGAAGCATACATTTATCCGCATGACAGGGAACCGTATAGGACAGAACAAGAAGACAGTAAGTTGGACTGACCACCACTTCCAGATTTTGGCATTAATTCCGCGAATTTAGACAGCCTTGTTTGTGCATTTAACAGGCTCTCCCGAAAAAACACTATGGATACTGCCTACCACGGGTAGCAATCATGGTTCGGCCATTGCGACATCATACAAAAAGTCGTGGATAATACACGTACATCTTGTGCGGATTAGTTGAGGCTGTCAGGGCAGTGAGAAATCGCCGGGGAATATTCAGGGACTGAGACCATCGAGGAAAATTGTGATTCGTTCGAAAAAATCGATAAGGATTGATTATACTTTCTAATTACTGCAGCATCGATAGTTGTCACGCAAGTTTAGATGGTGAGGAAGGGCGCTGCGCGATCGAGGTGAGCAGTTTTTGTCGTGACCACATGAAATAAGCGTTCCCTAGACTTATAGTCAACAGTTTTTGTCCTGACCATATGAAATGTGCGTTCGCTAGACTTATAGTCAGTCGTGAAGCTGGATATGGGTGCAGATGTGAGTTTTTGAAAACAATTATCGTTATAAAAATGTGTGCCTGCGTGGCCGATTCATATGAACAGGTAGGCAACCAGGGATGGACCAGCGGATGAGATTTGCGCATTTGAGCTCACCATCATCACCATCATCATCATCATCATCAACACCATCATCGACAGCATAACATCAGTGTTCAGCACCGATGCTCCACTTCCGTGGAACCACAATTCACCTGAAACCTTATTGTGGAGAGAAGAATAGATGTGGACTGGGGATGTACTTATTGGTAGCTTCCTACAATTCCAGACATTCACTCAGGCAGTCTGGATAGATACTAACATCAAGAACGCAAGTGACGTCGGTTGGCGTCCATATCTTGTAGTGTCTCCAACCAGGCGCAGTGGGGATCACGCGGTCCCCATCCTGCAAGTCGCATAGCGCAGTTGAGCTATAACAGAGCCACTGTTTATTCTCTCTGTAGCTAGCCTATATGGGCCAACATTGGGGAAAAAAAATAATCGTGTGCTTTAGACTGGCACGAGTTGCTACGAAATAGTACTAAAGGGGTTGCTCTGTTGAGTTGTACTATATTTAGAGTATGGAACAGTGGTCGCAAAAACGTGCACTCAAGCTTGCTTGATAATCGGAGGAAGATATCCCACCAAATGATGAATTGCTTTATTAATATTAATATGCGACCCAGCTGTAAAAAACAAGTACTCAACAATAATCTGTCGCAAGCAGACTGAGCAGCATCCCGGTGCATCTTTTTGGGCAACTTACCAACTTACTTGACAATACTGGAGGTTGGCCATGCAGCACCCTTAAAGGTTGGTCAGTGGATAGAGTTCTGAAACGCAAGGTATACACTAATAATTGGTGAGCCCGAGTTAAGTAGCCATGTCATCACCCTCACATCACGGTACTCCTCCAACACCCATCACATTCGCACCCAACGTAAACACCGTCTCCGTCCATCTTCCACCGTTTTGGCACCACGATCCTTCCATATGGTTCACCCAAGTCCAAGCTCCGTTCGCCCTCCGCGGAATCGCTCAAGAATATACTATGTATTTTCACGTTCCAGCGGTGCTTCCATCAGAGATAGCAGCAGACTTGCGCGATATACTGCAGACGCCTGATGACACTAAACCCTACATTCAGCTGCGCAGTACACTCATTAAACGTTGCAGTTTATCAGAACATAAGAGACTGGAACAACTACTCAGCGGAGAATCACTAAACGAGATTTCGAACAGGTTAAATCTTTGCTGACTGATTCTTTGAGACTATTTCATCCATAACCTGACGCCCATTTATCACTTGCTGTTGATGTATCAAACATCGCTGCGGGCGCAGTCCTACAACAGCCGGTTCATGGTCCAATACAACCGCTCGGATTCTTCTCCAGGAAACTGTCACCTGCAGAATCCCGCCACAGCACTTTCTGTCGAGAGTCACTTGCTATTTATTCATCTATTTGACATTTTCGTCATTTCCTTGAAGGTAGACAATTTATTATTCTTACCGATCACAAACCTTTAACTTTCGCTCTACTGGCCAAACTTGACAGATATTCTTCTCGTGAATTATGTCAACTTGACTATATCTCACAATTCACCAACAACATCCGCCATATATCAGGCCATCATAATATCGTGGCAGACACGTTGTCTCGTCCGGCAGTTGACTCCATCCACTCAACGACCGCGATCGACTTGCAACGTATGGCTCAGCTACAACGGGACGAGCCCATTATTTCGCCGTCAAGCGACAAACCGTTTTCATTACACGTTAAGCCGGTGTCATTACAAATAGCACCAAGTACCATAGACTGCGATGTTTCTACACCCACTGCAAGACCTGTAGTCCCACAAGCAATATGCCGCCAGGTTTTCGACGCTCTGCACAACGTTTCGCACCATGGTATACGATCAACGGTCAAACTCATTTCACAACGTTTTGTATGGCCCAATATGAACAAAGACATTCGTTCATGGGCAAAAACTTGCCTAGCTTGTCAGTGATTCGCCATACCCATTCACCCATCGGTACCTTCGCCACTCCAGACGGTAGATTCGATCACGTCCACATAGATACGGTCGGTCCTCTCCCGATATCCAATTCATTCTCCTATCTCCTCACTTGTGTCGATCGTTTTACACGGTGGCCTCAAGCCATCCCAATACCTGACACTTCCGCAGATGTCATCGCTCGCGCATTCATCAACGGATGGACTTCCATTTTTGTGTACCTTCTTTCATAACCACGGATCGTGGCTGCCAGTTCGAATCACAGTTTTTCCAACGTTTGACGGAACTACTTGGATGCAAACGCATCCGGACCACTGCATATCATCCACAAGCAAACGGTTTAGTCGAACGCTTTCATTGACACCTAAAGACTGCTCTCCGCGCTCAAGACAACCCATTGAACTGGTGTGACCAATCTTCCATTATACTTCTACAATGTTTCGCTCTTCACCGCATTGTTCACCCGCGGAATTAGTCTTCGGAACGACTCTCCGTATCCCAGGACAATTTTTCAATTCAGATTCACGTACTCCTGGCGACTCGGTCACTTACGTAACTAACTTGAAATCCTACATGTCACTCCTACGCTATTCTTCACCACCAACACCAAGCAAACCGTCTTATACCACCCCTGACCTCGCAACTTGTCCATTTGTGTTTATACGTTCCGATCGTGTTAAACCACCCCTACGGCCAACATATGCTGGTCCTCTACGTGTTCTTTTGCGGAATGACAAATATTTTACTGTTCACTTAAATGGCAAGCAGGAAAACATTTCTATTGGTCGCTTGAAACCTGTTTATCTCGACTCCCTTGAGTCAAGTGTCCCTGACGGTCTACAACCCAAAGTGCCCATCGATAACACTGCAGGCACGTCTCCCAAATCTACAAGCGACCGCCCTGCACAACCTTACCACATCACCCGTTCCGGCAGACACGTACACTGGCCAACTGGCCAGATCGCAAATTGACATCAACTATTTCATCACAATTTGACACACCGAACGTCCAAGTGACCATGTTTTTATTTTTGTGTTCCTTTTCCGTTAGGGGGAGGGTATTTGTAACGGACATTTCCATGTCCCCTCAACCGGCTTTACGTAATTTGTTCAGTACACGCGTGTCTACTAGATCCTGCGGCTGACCTGCTATACAAGTCAGTTCCTGTCTAGTACACATCGGAACGATTCATGCTTTATACGCACGTCAAACTTTCCTGTATAGGGACAGAACACATTCAAACACAAGCACACAAAGCACGTGACAAACGCCGTTCTGCCCGCAACTTTGACCGATCACAAGTCAGTTCCTGTCTAGTACGCATAGGAACGATTCATGTTTTATACACACGTCAAACTCTCTTATAGAAGGACAGAACACAATCAGACACACACACCCTCACGCATCACTTGCGCGTCGGAACACAGACCGGATCGACTCAACGACAACCGCGGACTGCTAGGAACGTGTAGCAGTGAACCTGCCAAAAGAAACACGATCACCTGCGCCCAAACCAATTCGGTGGAACTATTGCAACTTCCGCTCAGAACGATAAGTCCTTCATTTGTACACTCCCATTTTTGGTATTGTATTCGACATAATTAAGGTGTCTTAAAACAAATTTTATTAGTGTCGCTTTCTAGCCTTCTGACTTATCAAGTGGATTTTGTTGTTAACAGTAGAGAACACTAATACGTTTCAGCGTAGGATAAGTGTTAAACGATCCACCTTGGACGATTAATAAATCGCTTCAGTAAACCTATTCAGAAATGGACGAGTAAGCTGAAGAGGGAAACAAGTTATCCGTTAGGAAAAACAGCGAACAATATCAGAAAGTGCGAGATGTAAAATTTTCTGGTAGCGCATGCTGCGCAATAAGAGGCAGCACTTAAACCTATTCAGAAATGGACGAGTAAGCTGGAGAGGGAAACCAGTTATCCGTTAGGAAAAACGGCGAACAATATCAGAAAGTGCGAGATGAAAAATTTGCTTACAGTGCATGCTGCGCAATAAGACCCTGTAAGGTGGATGAGTTTAGAGAGACTAATAGAGACGGAAGATTGCAGAAAACGCGAGGTGCGTAACCGTGTGGAATATTTTGAAACTGAGTTGATCACAGCATAGCACAATCACAGCTTAGGGGAAAACTGTAGGTTATGGAGGTCTAACGGCATCGGAAGCGTCACACGACACCCCTACAGTAAATCTTCGTAAAAATTGTATGTGAAACAGTACTTTATCTTTGCTGTAATTGGCGTTTAGAATTCACAAGGTAATTTCTCCGGGTATATGATGCAACTAGGACAGGCTACTCCAACAGCACCGACTGTTACGGCTATCTCCTTTTTGAACTACGCGTGCCAATCGAAGAAAGGCACCAAGAAATCCTACTTCTGGAGTCAAGGGCACTATCGCGAGGATAACAATACACATTCAACAAACCTCAACAAATTCTCCTCTGCAGATGTCGCAAGAGTTACAAAATAAGGCGGTACAATCGCCAGCCTGGGGATAAAGCGCAGATCATTTCACCACAACTTCGGTATCATCACAACGAAACAGATATCGACGGCGAGCGACCGCAAAAAACGTAATCTCCTACCAAAATCCTTATGAAAAAATTCATTAAAACAAGAAGACCTCAGTTCATCTAATCAATGGGAAAACCAGTTTTGGCTGCCACATGTAGTTTGAAAATGAGAGTGCGTTGTTGGGATGCTGTCTTCCACACGGACATCTGACAACAGCCTCTTCTGTTTTGGTTTTACAAAACCAAAGGCCAGTCTTAGAATTTCTTGACTGATTAAGGCCTCAATACCATCGGAGGGCTGCCAGTTATACGAGAACCTTTTTGCAAGTCATCATAACAGATACCCGTGAGGGGCATATTCAGCCACTGCTTGAGACTGCCCAATGCATTCAGTTAGGTATGAAAGTTGCGGAACACTGGTTGTTTTGTTCCCAGTTCATGCACTCACTTGATACAGCTACTAGATGTTTTATCCGGTGAAAGGAAGGGTCAAACCGGTAATGCCGCGTATCCACTAGATGTTTTATCCGGTGAAAGGAAGGGTGAAACCGGTAATGCAGCGTATCCATGTCATCAAAACTTGAAGAAGATGGCCGCTTATTGAATGGGGCCAAGAAGGTAGCACTCAACAAACATGGCATCAGTGGTGTGGAATATGGAAGAAGACATCTGGGTTGAGAGCTTCAGTGGCGAAACGCTAATGCTGTATAAGCATGACGCCTTGGAAGGACATTGTGAACCATGTGCTTTCGAGTGTTCTTGAGGTGAGTGGGGGAATATGGAATTTGCCCCCAATGCGATGGCGTGTATAGACCTTATATAGGTGTCTTTTCGTTCGGGATGGGGAACGCACTTAATTCACTTTCGCAGAACTTAGAAGAGACAGTGATGTGGCATTTACGCACAGAAGTGAGTCTCAGGAAGCATGGGATTGAGCAATGAAATATGATGCTATACCTACTCTGCAACAACAGAAAAGTGAATGCAAGGAGACCAGGGAGGGCGATAGAATCGAAGGTGCTGATCATGTGTTGAAATATTTGTAGCTCGGGTTAGTTGACTGGTTCTTGGTCAGGTGGTTGTTTATCTGTTTGCAGAGCTTGGAAATTGGCTTACAAGTTCGGTTGGGATCGGGTGGAGAATTTGTTCGTAGCTGAAATTACAGGCCGGAGTGGGCGGGAGACGACAGTCAAGAGAAGGAAGAAAATGGTTGCAGGCTGCTATCAAGATGAATGCGGCAGTGCCGCGGCATAAATGTACTGGCATATCTGCGTTTTGAACCGTCGCGTGGCGGACGTCAAGTTTTCGGCAATCGGGCAGGAGTGCGCATTTCCCAAGGCTGCTCGACCTGCGCTAAACAAGTAAGTTTGATTCATTTGGACGACCATGTGGGTGTAAATCGAAAACAGCCAGAATAAATGAATGACGATCATACCGTGCGTTTGAATCAGCTACTGAAGAAGTTCCAAGCTCGAAAAAGGGGGAAATGAGAAAGAAATAGAATGAGACCTGTAGCAACCGAAAGAGTCCGCCTAACAAGCACGGAACAACTAAGATACGAAAATTAATCGTCACACAGTTCTTCATGCTACGCTTTCATCAACTCTAAACTAGGAATTTAGACATACACGAAGTTTTCAAGCGACAGAAGCTGCTGTATTGCGCCGTCAGCTGAAGACATTTCCCACCTACGGAACAAGGTGGTTGTTTTCTGCCTCATTAGCACTGTGTACTCCTAACTTACACTGACTGACTGTGCGTTTGCACATCATTTGATACTTACTTGCTATCGTTTCCACAAATACCTGCCGCTTCACTTACTATTTTTATACTCTTCTCGACTGTGCTATTATCGACTGTACGTTTTGTTTAGATCATGTCGTTTGTTTACCCGGCCGTCCATATAAACAGCTTTTAATATTTTTCAATACATCGTCTACCGCCCTCGTCTGTCTGTTCCTACTGCCTACCAGATATAAACTGCTCATAGTCTGATGACCGCAGTTGCCAGAGATTTCACAGTCAACTTCTGCGGCAGCTTGGGGCTGCCTGAAATGCATCCAATATTATTGAGCAGCAAACATTTATGCTTGATGCAGTTTTGTTACTCTGTTAATGGGTTATTCTTTCTGCTTGAGAGATGCGCACCTCATCCTTATTCACTGAGCTGGCGGCAAAACAGGCCTCCCACAATTGATGACGTATTGCTCAAGGTAGGTTGATGCATTCTGGAGCAGTCCATGCTAGATATCTCCATAACTTCAACCGAATATCCTCGACCTTCCTTCATATATGAGGAATATAACAGTGCTGATGCATAACATGACACGGGCCAATTACTGTCGGTATATTTTATACTTTTAACTGAATTTGTTTTGAACCGTCGCGTGGCGGACGTCAAGTTTTCGGCAATCGGGCAGGAGTGCGCATTTCCCAAGGCTGCTCGACCTGCGCTAAACAAGTAAGTTTGATTCATTTGGACGACCATGTGGGTGTAAATCGAAAACAGCCAGAATAAATGAATAACGATAATACCGCGCGTTTGAATCCGCTACTGAAGAAGTTTCAAGCTCGAAAAAGGGGGAAATGAGAAGGAAATAGAATGAGACCTAAAGCAACCGAAAGAGTCCGCCTAGCAAGCACGGAACAACTAAGACACGAAAATTAATCGTCACACAGTTCTTCATGCTACGCTTTCATCAACTCTAAACTAGGAATTTAGACATACACGAAGTTTTCAAGCGACAGAAGCTGCTGTATTGCGCCGTCAGCTGAAGACATTTCCCACCTACGGAACAAGGTGGTTGTTTTCTGCCTCATTAGCACTGTGTACTCCTAACTTACACTGACTGACTGTGCGTTTGCACATCATTTGATACTTACTTGCTATAGTTTCCACAAATACCTGCCGCTTCACTTACTATTTTTATACTCTTCTCGACTGTGCTATTATCGACTGTACGTTTTGTTTAGATCATGTCGTTTGTTTACCCGGCCGTCCATATAAACAGCTTTTAATATTTTTCAATACATCGTCTACCGCCCTCGTCTGTCTGTTCCTACTGCCTACCAGATATAAACTGCTCATAGTCTGATGACCGCAGTTGCCAGAGATTTCACAGTCAACTTCTGCGGCAGCTTGGGGCTGCCTGAAATGCATCCAAAATTATTGAGCAGCAAACATTTATGCTTGATGCAGTTTTGTTACTCTGTTAATGGGTTATTCTTTCTGCTTGAGAGATGCGCACCTCATCCTTATTCACTGAGCTGGCGGCAAAACAGGCCTCCCACAATTGATGACGTATTGCTCAAGGTAGGTTGATGCATTCTGGAGCAGTCCATGCTAGATATCTCCATAACTTCAACCGAATATCCTCGACCTTCCTTCATATATGAGGAATACAACAGTGCTGATGCATAACATGACACGGGCCAATTACTGTCGGTATATTTTATACTTTTAACTGAATTTACCTGAAATTCGCACGCGTGGTCAACATGGAACAATCTGAATTGGCAGTCTGGATACCTTAATGCACATGCCTTTCTCACCCCATCACAAAAACCCAGTCTTAAAAGAACCCATTTTTTATAATTCCACCGTATTACTTGCATAGATTTCGTTATTCCTAACGGGGACTACGTCGAACAACCCCAATAAAATTGTATACTCGAGATAAAAGAATGACGCATCGCGCCTGGAGACCTTCTGCGAATATGGTTGTTGACCTGAAATTTCTTTACAATGTAACAATCTGAAGTTAACTGATCCCTTTCTTCTCCTCCCACCCCTCGGTGGTTCTGATGAAATGTGATACTCAATTGTGCCTTAGTTCAGCGAGGTTTGACTGGTAACTACTTACCCGTTTCCTTTTCTGAAATACAGCGGATACGCAATTGAAAAACTTTTTGGAGTTAGGTTTTGCAGGCTTGTCAGACAATAATATTTTTCATTTTGGTTAGTTGGTGTACGAACTAAACTTTTTCACGGGGTTGTCCCCGCTGAACTTACGATCAAACACAAATACCCAATAACTGCGATTCTGTGTTCTCACGCTGAAAAGTTCTGGTTAAACCAAAACAGACGAATGAAAAAATGCTCCCTAAGACTACTGGCAAATGGTTCGTAAAAGAACTGCTAGGCCCATACAACAACTCGACCATCATAACTTATGGCTCTCTCAGTTCGTATTCTTAACCAATCAGATCCCGCCTGGGATGCCTGGCCTTTGCCCCTGTTTGAACCAATCACTCACAGCCTGAGCTATTGGCCATTGCCGCGTCCGTTGGAAGTCGAAAGAGGCCCCGATATCGGGGCATATGTCCCCTCCCCTGGTCGTAGCTTTTTTGATCGTGAATCACACTCAGTGTCCAGTGGCGCCTAGTCATCGTTGGATACAGGGGTGTTACGAAACTGATGCGCGCATAATGCTGTGTAACCACGGTCTGCAAATGGACGAACCTTTTCCGTTGCATTTCAACATATATAAGAGTGCGTTTAAGCGGTCAAATACAAGGCATCCATATTTTCAGGAACAAAGTGCCTTGGGTTTCCTGTGGATACGTCACAAACGATAATGCTGTCGAAGTTGAGAAGCGGAAATTTGATGTGTTTGAACGACATAAGCATAGAAAAATCCGAAAATTCAAGTTCCGTCTGCTGGTTGGAGACAGTGGCTAGTAGATCGATAAATGTTGCTGTGATGTTGTTTACCTCTATGGGAGAAGGGACGTCAGCAAACACGATGGAACCTGCGATATTGCATGAGTCGGTTGTATCTGGGGCATGATATCCAGATGCCGGTTCTCTACGGATGGGTTTTGTCTAAAGGTGATCTCAAGGTGAAAGCGAGAGGTTTTGTGGTCAGTGTAAGTAGTGAAATTTCTTCCCTTGAGGGTGTGTCCAAAATGTCTAACGGCTGAGTAGATCTCCAGGACCTCCTTACTAATTAATTATGGCTGTCTAAAGAGTGTTTTAGGAATTCAATACTAGCATGGGATCAATTACGTCAATAAACTCCGCGGCAATTTCATTGGGAAACATGGTCTGTAGTGACGTAATGTGGTGGAAGTGAAAGTTGCATTCTGTTTGAATGAACCACACTTTAGGGTTATTGGCTCCATATGTTGGGAGTTTGACGTGGACTGAATTTTCACGTAAGTCAGTTTTGAGTTCGTCTTCATTAGACATGACTGGTCAAATGAGGTACCGGACTAAATAAGTGCATGTAGGCCCGAGGAAGTCCTGAACAACCGGAAGAATAAAACAAAGCAAAATAAGGCGGGATCACCAATTATGTTGTGGTTAACGACCATAAGGAGTTTGTAATGAACAGGACGAAATACTAATGTAAGTCAGGTACAATGCCACATGGAGGAAAATCCAAGGAAATCCTGACTCGTAGTTCACATAAGGAAATTCCACAGGTCTGTATCCCGTTGAGCCACCACACAGGGGAGAGGATGTTCTACTTTCCTGGTATTTCAAACTTCCGGTAGTCACAGTATTAATCCACTGACGTAAATGGATATGTCCAGTGATTTTGCCGCTAAAATTTTTGTTCATGTTGGGAATCAGTACTACCCAATGTTATTCAACAGCCAGTCGCAGAAATTCAATCAGCGGAAAGCACAAAGTCCCGTTGGGTCCAAGAAACAGGGGCTTGTTGTGTATTTCAATAAAGCACACTTCGTGCAATAATGTGATCAATATGGACGGCGAGAAAAGAGGTGATATTGAGCAGGAAAATAGCAGTTCACAAGTATTACAAACCTAAAAAGCCCCTACAATTTTAACTGGCTGAATTTCATTTCACCTCTTTTGAAAGACGTGTAGAGAAGTCCGCAGCAAACGAATCCAACCAAGGAAAATGTGGTTCGTCATCCACACGCCATCATTTACAACCTTGGACACAACACTGAAGATAAGTTCAGTTAACCTGCTGCCTTAATGACGCTAATGACATAAACTGCCGCTGTGTATTGAAAATTCAGCTGCACAACTTTAGAGGAAACTGATAAACAACGAGTTTCCCGAAAAGCATCAAATCATATGATCCGGTTATATGTGAACGGCAATGTCTGGGCGGTAGAACAGCGCCTGTGCGTGGGTTTATGCTTTCGGCCTGCTGTATGTGGATATGGTGGCAGAGGAATAGCAGCTTTCAACGGTTGTTTCCATTTTCAAACAAACATCAGAACGGAGTGCAGAGGCCACGAAGGTACCTGTCTCACTGCTATTTCCCCAAAATTCGGCGCAGACCCAGGATGACTGAGAAGCGAACTAGAACAGCAGATAGGCAAACACCAGGCAGGATTCAGGTCAGATCATGAATGCATTAACCCTGT